TTCCCGATTTGATCAGGCCTTGTTACGCTTTAAATCACGCTTTGATAATCTTTATTAAGCTTTGATGCGGCTATGACGCTTTACATCACGCTCTGATACGATTATCAAGCTCTGTTATGCATTGTTAAGCTCTGTTACGCATTGGAAAATTTCGAAATGGCCGATTTCATGCCGCTCTTGATCAAGTGGTGACAGACCGTGAAAACTGGGGTCCCCTCTTTGAATAAATCTCTGTTAAGCTTTCCTACGCTTTGAGTCAAGCTTTGCTGAACTTTGTTACGCTTTGTTAAGCTTTGATACGTTCTCGGCGCTTTAATCAATTCGTGACAGAGCGCCCAAAATATTTAAACAGTTTAAAATTTTTTGGCGCTCTTGCCGAATATCCAGCTTTGCTCAAAGCTTTCCAACGATCTATTACGACCCTGGCGCTTTACTCGAGCTTTGGTACCGCTTTGTACGCCGCTTTAAAGCGCCATCAAAGCGCCGTTGGTGTGAACCGAGCATAAGTAAAATGAAATGGTGAGAAAAACAAAAGGAATGGTTTTAAATGATATGAAATCAATTAATCAGTATTGTCAGTAAGGACAAACTTCTTCAGTTCTTCTTTAAATGTATATAAAGAAGGGTTATGTTTTACAGTTTGTGGTAATGAATTCCAAAGTAAAGAAGCTGTGTATTGAAATGTTCTCATCATAGCAGTTTTATTACATTTCTGTATGTCTAAAGTTCGGAGTGTTTCTGATCTCAGTGTCATACTGGTTTCCGTTAATTTTGATCTTTCCGTAAATTTATTGTATAAATATTCAGGGTGTCCAGTTTGAAATATTTTGAATGTCATTATGCCACGATTATATCTAATACGTTGATACAGAGTCAACCAATTTAAAATTTTGAATAATGGTGCCGAAGGAGATTCATGGTTTTTTTCTAATATACTCCTTGCAGCGCGTTTTTGTAATTTGTATAAAACCTCTAATTTACTTTTATTGGCATTACCCCAAACTGTAGAACCATAACCAAAACATGTAAAAATATATAAACAATTTACGTAAGCTTAATGGAATGCATATTTTAATTTGACTGAGAAGGAATTAGTCAAGTAAGGAAATAGTATATCGAATATCTCTAGTATTTACAGACCAAAACTTTTCAATATACAATATTGTATTGACATAATCGCAGTAATATTGGGGAATAGAAATGAGCAGTATTCTAGGAAACGAAACTTGAAAAAGGATAATACTTCGAAAACCGGTTCGTGTCAATTGCGTAAGTTTTTGTTTTACTTGTTATAATTTTTTACATCATTGTTAGCGTTATTCATCACCTAAATATATATTTTTGCATTTTTCATCATAACTTTCATCTTACTTTATATATCCCCAAACCCAGTTTGACTTAGTTTGACTCTCGTAGAGAGGGCACTCCCCTTCTCTTTTCACTTTCAGACTCGTCTTCCCCTTCCACGCCATCAGAATCTTCACAGCGTGATCCAGGATACCTTTCTTCCTTCTGTGCGTTTTTGGACCAGCAAACCACCCCTCAGTCTCCATCCAAGTCGAGACGTGTATCCAGACTCCCCCCCTCCCCCCGCCCCCCTCGAACCGTGCCCAATACTACAAACCTACTACCGTTATTCTTCTCAATAACCGTGATCAGCTACCAAAGACCTCCTTTAACCAAGCCCAGAAATTAATCGCTACAGCCAACAAAACCTTCCCAAACTCCAAGATCTTCTTCACATGTATACCCATCTCAAATAAAATCTCGAAGAAACCACAACAGAACCTCAGCACCCTTAACAACATGATGATGGAGTCCAATATCAACAGCGCAACAATCTTACCACCCTACGAAGAAGAATTCGAACCAGTTTTTAATCTTCATTGGTCTCCAGAAACAGCAAACAGTATTTATTTGTTTTGGATACACCAGCTTCAAGCATCGAGTAAGTCTTTAAACTAATTACTGGGGATAAAAATACTGAGAGGCCACCGCTAGTCCAAACTGTAGTTAACTTGATCCGCAAAATTCTCACACCTCTTCAGCATTCAATCTTAGACCGTGGACTTCAGTTTATTCCCACACCAAAGATAGCCAACTTAAATTATCTCCGACCATCCATTGAACGATTTCAACGAAATCTTAGCTGCACATATTTTTTCGAAACAACCCACACATAGTGCTAGAACAATGTTCAATCCCAAATCTACGTGGACACCCCCTCAGGGCGCCATTCATCCCGAAATATCGAAAGCATTTGCCAGTATGAATAGCCAAACAGTGAACCTTTCTATAACACACGAAAAGCCTAATCTCACACGAGTGGAACGTGAAGCGTTAAACTTACTTAAGAAAGACGATAGCATTGTTGTTAAAAAGAGTGACAATGGTCCATGTAGTGTCATTTTGAATAGGGAGGATTACGTTTCAGAAGCAGAGAATCAACTGAATAATCCTAAACATTATGCCATTTTACCGAAACCAATTTTCAAAGAAACTGCTAGTATGATTAACAATATTCTTGCCGATTTAATCAAAAACAGTTATCTCAAACAGAAACAATATGACTATCTATCTGCCAAACCTGATTGACGCGAGAGACATTTGTACACTTTGCCTAAAATCCATAAGATTCCAACCAAGGAGTGGTTTATCTCGAATAAAATCCCTAAAGGCCACCCGATTATATCTGACTGTCGCAGTGAGTCGTATGCAGTGTCAGAATACATTGATCATTTCTTACTACTTCTAGCATGTCAACATCGCGTCTACCTTAAAGACACAACCGATTTTGTCAATAAAATAAAAATTCTTCGAGTTCATTCTAATGCTATTTTAATTTCTATCGACGTTTCTTCTCTGTATACCAATATCGATAACACTACTGGTTTAACGGCAGTTCGTAAAGCTTTTAATAGAAACCCAGATCCAAACAGACCCGACGAAGCAATTCTACAGCTTTTAGAGACAGCTATGGGCAAACGATTCGCCCCTTCGTACGCAAACCTTTTCATGGCAGAGTGGGAACGTGAGGTGTTGCCCCTCTGTCCATTTGACCCACTTTTTTACGGACGCTTTTTGGATGACATTTTTATGGTTTGGACTTATTCTTTCGAACAGTTTTGGGAATTTGAAAATCTCTTCAACCACCATCCGTCTATCAAACTAACCGCAAACGTGAGTGACAAAAGTATAGACTTTCTCGATACCACTGTCTTTAAGGGAGATTCCATAGCAGAAACAAATAAACTGGATATTGAAGTGTATTTCAAAGAAACTGAATTTCATCAACTCTTGCACAAGTGCTCCTTTACCCAAAACATACCTTTAAGTCACAAGTTTTACGATTTCATCGAATTTGCAGAAGATCCTCTGATTTCAACCAAGCCTGTACGATTGTTTTCTCAAAACTAAAAAAAGCGTGGGTACTCTTAACGATTTTTACGAAACATAAAAAAAATTCCACTTTAGCACAGATAGCAGCTAAAAACAGACTTTATGCCGAAGTACCTCCAGGTTTAAGGAGTGCTCCATGTTTGTCCAGTAGATGCAAATCATGTCCCTTTATATCAGAAACTCATTATTTTGTAAGCAACTCTACGAATAAAAGGTACCGGATCCCGGAAAATCTAACATGTGAACATTCGAATGTAATATATTTAATTTCATGCAAGAAATGCCCCAAACAATATGAAGGAGAAACTAAGAATAATTTACGAACTCGTTTTAATACTCACATATATATCAAATTAAAGAAAGACAAGCCTGTTTCATAGACCTATATGTCCTTGCATAGAAAAATAACACACGACTATTTTTGAATGGATTAATTTTAATAATTATGTAAATTTGTGGTTGAGTTTTCCGATGTAATACGTAATTTAGTGTAATAAAGGATTATATTGTTCATTATCTTAAAAATGGAATGTGTTCGCATTGGTAAGTATGTAGGTGTAGATTTCACGGAAAAGTCATTTACTACTAATTAGCAAGAGTAGATTACTCTGTCTGACGATTAATTTGCTAGAATACAGCAGATTTGCACGCTGTTAATTCATTGAGTAATTAAAACAATCGCAAGTCGATCTAGTTTTTAGTTCAAAAAGATTATTCTACTCAAATAACAATATTTCGTGAATTGGTTGTTTTATTAAGATATATGTAAAATTATGCAGTAGCTAAGAAATAATTGCACAATTATGTTTTCAACATGGCGATATATATATACGAGGGTAACACTGTAATCTAGTCCCGAAGTTGATACTAGTGTTGTTGTAGGAGACGTTTTAGGGCTGGTAAGTCATGCTGTTGGGCGAGTATTAGTATGTCAATACAGCCAAGGGACGACAAGGCTGTACTGTAAGGTGCTCTGACAATTAAGTGAAATTTCACAAAATCTATAACTTTGAAATATACAAAAATGTGGAAGTAATATCTGATGACATGGTGCAACCTCTGGATGAATTATTTTGGGACTTTTTGGACTTTTTTCATAATATTGGATAAATAAATTCTGTATATCAAAAGTAAGCTTTGATAAGGTGCAATGAGGTGTGAAGGAATACCGGATGGCCCATGTCCGTTCAAGCGGAAAGGGGTTGATGTCGTTATGTCGCAAGGTGACGTGATGTTATGCTCAAGTTGTAATGAGGTCAGGTTTGGAGTGAAGTAAACTAACAATAGAAGGATACCAGTAGATGTGAATACCATTACTAATGAGACAGATTCTAGTAGTAATCAACATAATACTGACAGCTTGATCACCGAAAATCAAGTTTTAATCACTGATATGGTCATTGGCTATATATCTTTTTCTATGCAGAACAGTACTCATGACAACATAAAAAACATAGTTCTTGGTCATTTCACACTCGAACAAATAGTCAAAAGTAAAAACTTATTATGGTCTAAATGTGACCAACATGTGATAGGAGAAAAAGCTCGACGGAAAGATTCGGTTGTGCGTCCCTAAAAAAGGGGCACATTTGTTGGATATAATGGGTGCCATGGAGAAATTAGACAGGAATGAGAAGATGCCAAAAGTGACTATAGACGCCGTGGATCTTGGCAATATTCCCCGTTCTTACCCAGAAGATTTGAACAATGTCTCTATTGCTGAAAGATTGATTCGCATGAAAGCCAAGATGTCCAGTTTCCAGGATATTCTGGATCATACCATTTGTGAAAATCTCACAATAAAAGAACAATTAGACAAGAAATTATATTCACAGAGTGTCATAGAACCCAGGAAAACAAATGCAGTGCCCCCCAAAAGTGTCAAATCAGCCGCATCTGAGACAAGGATGGGATATTCGGAAAGCACAAAAAGAAACCACCCGAAAGTTTCACATCTACGTGAGAAGTCAGCTGATCGATTAAGTGG